CCCCAAAACCCCAAAACCCCAAAACCCCATGGTTATTATTTCGTCTCTAATCAAGAGAATAATTAAGAATTCACACTTGATAAATTAGTCTAGTATTTATATACTTAGATTTTAAACTTAATTGTTTCTTTTTATGACACTTAATTTAAGGCATACATTCTTGCGATCAATTCTTGATATTGTTTGAGTTCAGATTTTCATTAGAGTTCTTACGGTCATATATCTTAAGCTAGTTTCCTCTGTATACATGATCATCTTCCTCATATAACAGTTATATCTCTACAGCTATATGTAATTAGTTCAATTTTTAAAAGTCTAGATAGAAAGAATCCTTAGGGATATCTCTCAAAGTGAAGGAGTTATACAAAATCACACGTCTCAATGATCTATATTCGATGTAGGAGATATCTGCATCACCTTTAGTGATTTCACTCACCTCCTATTCATCTTATTAATCTCTACTTCTTCTGTGATTATATGTCACATTATAAGTTAAAAGTTTACTTATTATTGCCTCTCTGACTTGATCTTTAGGAAGATTCTTTGGAATAACAGTAATGAAAGGGTTGTGAATAACTCTATTCTATTGATCAACTATTGTGCAATAAAGAAAGCCAGTGTATATTTGTTTTTCTTCCATCATTAATAATTCTTCAGGCTAAATTGCTGAAATTCTGAATTCGTAGTTCTTCCGTTAAGCTTCTTCAATTAAGTTGCTCATTAAATCTTTGAAATCTAGTGCTCTTATTATAGTTTTAGAGTTCTTATCAATGAATGAGAACATATACTGCCTAGTCACGACTTCCTCATTAAACTCTGCTTTTATTTCCTGAGACAACATTTTAACGACTTGCCAAACATTTATCTTTTCTTAGAATAACTTCACGAACTAGAGTTTATATTCATTCCTTGAGTTGTAGAAATGCACCTTCACCACTATATTTCCTAGCAGTTCTTCAAGTTTGAATTGGAGTTACTCAAAATGAATTTGATTTCCCTCTACTAAAAGTTGTGAAAAATCCTTCTCTTCAGCAAATTGAAGTTTATTGCCATTTCCAAGATGCAATTAAATATATCCGTCCTCTACCTCCTCATTGAATTAGCATGATATTTATTCTCTTATAGCATCATAAACATCTGAAGGAGTCAAGTTATAGCTCATTTAAACTTTGCCCATATCTCTCAAAGTGCTATCCCCTTCTTTTTAAATTAGTTAAACCCAAATTTCATTATTCTTAAAGTCAAGAAACGAAGATATCTCTCCAGCTATGTTCTAATTTTTATTATTGCCAAGAATAATTATTGTTCCATCTACGAAGTCTCTCACAAAAAATCTAGATTAACTGAGGATTATACATTTTAATTTTGGTTCTTCTAAAGCTAGGTTACTTTCTTTCTAAAACTAGGTAGGAAGTTCTAGAAACATATCTTAATCCTAGCCAAGATAAGGAAAGCTTTGTAAGATTTTTTCCTTCAACATATCATGGTCTAGAAAGGAATGAGCAATAATTGCTCCTTCTACTGTCAATCCATAATCACCTCCTTCATCATTGAATGTCTTTATAAATATCAGTCTTTCTGTCATATCTCTTGCTTAATTATTTTATTAGTTTTGATAGAGGAACTCATCCGCATCTTACTTGTTGGCCTTCGAACTCTGATTCGAATCTTACTGATTACCAGCAATTTACTATGTGGCCATTGTTAGTAAGTTTTGCTGAGTGTTATCTGCATTTTAATCTGGAGGGATGTCCAATGTTTGGTCTTAATCATTCATGATAATATCTTCAATCTCATCTTGACCAATTTCATAATCTTCAGAGGAATCATTTGAATCTTCTCGACTTCCTGAAAATTTCCAAAGTTCAATCATTTTACTCTCATAATTATCCTTATACTATTGATTGAGATCGCGTCTTATTACAAAATCAATTAGATTTTAATACTTTCTATTTCTAATCTCTATTTCTTACTCAGTATATCTCTAAAGTATAGGAGCATTTAAGTCTTTATTATTACAAATGAAAAAGTAAGCGTCATAGCCATTCTTACCAAAAATATCTTCATTAAACCTATCTTCAGATATATGGATGAAAGAATAGGATTTATCCTTTCTTTGCTTTAATTTATACATTGAAATATCTTTTGAACTGTATTTCAAATTTTTTCTCAGTTCTGTTACAAGATCTATATACTTGCTTTTCCTCTTTATCTATATTTTCAATCTTTGCTCTTCATTTTCTTTTAATCTATGACATTAATAGATGTCATCTAAGACCTGCTAAATGCCTCCTTCTCTCCAATTTTTTATAATGTCCAATGAAGTAATGAATACATTTCCGCATTCTTGCATTAGCTCTTAATCATGATCAAGCTTCCTGTTGAGCTGGTTTTCTTCGTCGAATCTTTCTTTAAGATGAGCTGGAATCTAATCAATTGGAATCTCTGCCATTATCTCCTCTCTGTCACAATCTCTTATATAAACGAGCATATATGCTGAAGTGTTGTTACTTCTCTATCTTTCATAAATACTACCATCCTTAAACTCAAAAACAGACTCATTACCACCACTTCCGATACTTAAAGCAGTTGACTATAGAATTGGCTCTACCTTACTATCATTAAATTCAAACCATTTATCATCAAGTGAAGGTCTAATAAAAGCATAGTAATGTCCAGCACCAAGAGTACCTCTGTGAATTAAGATAGAGTGTAAATGATATAAATTCTTGACTTCTTAATCTGAAGCTATCTATGAATAAGCAAATTAACTCATATTTACTTCCTTAGGGAGTAAACTATCTAAATCTAATGTCTCATGAAACCTAAGCTAGGCATTAATTTTAGCCATTTAGTCTTATTCGATATCATATGTGAATCTATTTACTTGGATTTAAAGAACTGGAGGAAGCTTCCTAAATCTAATGTATTTTCTTGCATCTTGTTTGCCAAATTTTTCAGCATCATATTAATTATCACCAGTTAGCTCTTCAGCTTCTACATATTTTAGAATAGACTACTCAATAGTTTCACAATCAGTCATACTAAGTTACAGACAATTGAAAGTATCTTTACGTGTTGACTCATAGTCTACATTCATACATTCTATCACATTTTCAGTAATTCCTTCAAATAAATTGCTATACGTTCCATTGACGGGAGTATCTCTCATTTGCTATTCAAGGGTATCACTTAAAACTAGGAAAAATTCATTCACATCATGTTATTAATTCATTTCTCGAACACTCCACCCAAAGGCATTTAAAAGTTCAAATGTTCTAACTGCTTCTTTACCTGTTTGCAAATTGTAGAATATTCTTTGTAAGCAAAAAGGGATACTTTTAAAATCCTCTATATTTGTTGGCATGTGATATACAGCTTTTCTAAAAGCTCTTATAATGTAGAGTGTTTGAATCAGAGAGTTTAGATAACAAGTAGTTCCCTCATTTATCAATCCATTATATACTTTTTACTACTGGTAATTTTTACCTTGACTTGACTTGCGCCTTGAAGCATGATTACTTTAACTTGGCTAAATTGGCTCATCCTCTATGTAGGGGACAGACTCAAGATAAATACCAAAATTTAGTAGGCGATTAAATCCTGCTCTATATCTGTTTTCAATCTTTGAGTGGAAGAATTTGTAAATAGTGTATTTATTGTTGTCTTAAGTGAATTGATAATAGCAACTCCAAGATTTTAGAGAGTTTGGTCCTCCATCTGCTCTAGTGAAACTTGAGAAGGTAAATTTCAAAGCTCGCTTCATAAATCCCTGACTAATCTCCTACTGATTTTCGATAGCATGAATAGTAATTTACCCTCCAATCTCATTATCTTCATTAATTACTTTTGGATTATATGAAAGAAACCAAGAAGATAAGTCTGGAAGCGTGAACTAAGCACTGTAAACTGGCTTATTTGAGTCCAAGCAATTTTCTAAGTTGATCAATGCCCATAATATTCTGCTATGTCCATCAGGTTAATTTCTTTGGAAGAGTATTGAGTTTGCATAAATGAAATCCTCCAGTTCAATTGCATCCTTTAAATATCTGTCGCTTTCCTCCATTGAATATAGGATATCTTCCTTATTTATCTTTTTATCATCTAAAAGAATATGTCTTTACCTCCAATGTTGTGAGAAATTATTATCAGTAATTTAGTCAATTTATGGATCAGAAATAACTGAGTTTATTATTTAGAGAACATTCAATGCTTCTTTCTTTTCTACAATTTTTCGTTTCACTTTTTACTTCGAATTGTTTAATTCTAAGAATTAAGGCGAGATATTCCCGCCTTTCTTTCTGACTTATCCATTATTTTTAATTTCCTCATCTTTATCCCCATTAATTTTTCTTCTTTTAGAATTTTGACTCAATTGTTGCATATCATTTCCGTAGAGTTAATCTGGCCTCAAGTATTACTGTTCTAATTTAGCTTAATTCAATTCAGTGTTAATAATAGTTTCCTTATTGTCACTAGATAATTAGTTGCTTGATATTTCTTGGTGTTTTCTCTTCTTCCTCTAATTGCTATCCACGTTAGCTGAAATATTGTTGTCATTGTTTTGATCAGAATTATTTTTATGATCGCCATTCCTGCTATTTTAATTACTTTTTTGGCTTAATTTAGCATTAGGATCTAGGGATAAGGTTAATATCTAATTAATGAGCAATCAAATTGCTTACTTTTAGAAGTCTAGGAGTGTAATTATGTGCTTTTCAAATTATTTTCCATTTTCTGATCTTACTGCTTAGACATTTTTCACTGCCTTTTACTATTTAAAATTATACTTATTAATAAATTCACTTTGTATTTTTAAAGTCTTCGAATTAATATTTTTGAAGCGCGGGGTTTTGGGGTTTTGGGGTTTTGGGG